ATTTGGGGGGGTTTTGGGAATTTTGGGGAGAATTTGGGGGATTTTGGGGAGCCTGGAGGGCACCTTTGGAATTGGGGGGAATTTGGGACATTTTGGGGAGCCTGGGTGGGGTTTGGGAGAAATTTGGGAGGATTTAAAGGACCCAGGGTGGGAATTTGGGGAGATTTGGGGAGATTTGGGGAGATTTTTTTGGGATTTTTGGAGGTCTGGGGGGGTATTTGGGAATTCTGGGAGGGGTTAAGGGGGTCCCAGGAGGGATTTGGGGGAATTTGGGAACATTTGGGATATCCCAGACAGAATTTGGGAACATTTGGGATATCCCAGACAGAATTTGGGAACATTTGGGATATCCCAGACAGAATTTGGGAACATTTGGGATATCCCAGACAGAATTTGGGAACATTTGGGCAGAATTTGGGAACATTTGGGCAGAATTTGGGAACATTTGGGCAGAATTTGGGAACATTTGGGATATCCCAGACAGAATTTGGGAACATTTGGGATTTCCTGGGCAGAATTTGGGAACATTTGGGCAGAATTTGGGAACATTTGGGCAGAATTTGGGAACATTTGGGCAGAATTTGGGACCATTTGGGCAGAATTTGGGAACATTTGGGATATCCCAGACAGAATTTGGGAACATTTGGGATATCCTGGGCAGAATTTGGGAACATTTGGGATTTCCTGAGCAGAATTTGGGAACATTTGGGATTTCCTGGGCAGAATTTGGGAACATTTGGGCAGAATTTGGGAACATTTGGGCAGAATTTGGGACCATTTTTGGGATATTTAAGCCCCTTGGCGCGGGTGTTTTTTGGCCATTCCGGGACCCTTCCGAGGGCGTTCCGGGGGATTTTTGGGCTGAGTTTGGGCATTTTTGGGGTTTGTTCTTGGCTGTCCCCTGAGTGTCCCTTTGTCCCCTCCGTGTCCCCAGCGCTGCCCCCCCCGGGGGGGTCCCTGGCGGCGGGGGAGGGGCGCGGGGGGGCCGAGGCCGCCTCGGCCGCTTTGGCCGACGCCGACGCCGACCTGGAGGAGCGGCTGAAGAACCTGCGGCGGGACTGAGAGCACCCCTTCTTTTGGGATTTCACCCCTTCTTTTGGGATTTCACCCCTTCTTTTGGGATTTCACCCCTTCTTTTGGGATTTCACCCCTTCTTTTGGGATTTTCCCCTTTATTTGGCATTTTTCCCCCTTTTTTTTTGGATTTTTTCCCCCTTTTTTGGGATTTTTCCCCTTTTATTTGGCATTTTTCCCCTTTTATTTGGGATTTTTCCCCCTTTTTTTTTTGATTTTTCCCCCTTTTTTGGGATTTTCCCCTTTTACTTGGGATTTTTCCCCCTTTTTTGGGATTTTCCCCTTTTACTTGGGATTTTTCCCCCTTTTTTTTGGGATTTTTCCCCCTTTATTTGGCATTTTTCCCCTTTTATTTGGGATTTTTCCCCGTTTATTTGGGATTTTTCCACCTTTTTTTGGGATTTTTCCCCCTTTATTTGGGATTTTTCCACCTTTTTTTGGGGATTTTTTCCCCTTGTTTTGAGATTTTTCCCTCCTTTTTTTGGGATTTTTCCACCCTTGTTTTGGGATTTTTCTCCTGTTTTTTGGGATTTTTCTCATTTTTTTTGAGATTTTTTCCCCCTTGTTTTGGGATCTCCCCCTTTATTTGGGATTTCTCCCCTTTTTTTCGGATTTCACCCCTTTTTTTGGGATTTTTCCCCCTTTATTTGAGATTTTTTTCCCCTTTTTTTTTGGATTCTTCCCCTTATTTTGGGATTTTCCCCCCTTTTGTTGGGATTTTTCTCCTTTTTTTTGGGATTTTCACCTTTTATTTGGGATTTTTCCACCCTTGTTTTGGGATTTCCCCTCCCTTTTTTTTGGGCTTTTTTTTCCCCTTTTTTGGGATTTTTCTCATTTTTTGGGGGATTTTCCCCTTTTTGGGGGGATTTTTCCCACTTTTATTTGGGATTTTCCCCTCTTTTTTTAAATTTTTCCCCCTTTTTTGGGCTTTTTCCCCTTTTTTAAGGGACTTTTCCCACTTTTATTTGGGATTTCCCCCCTTTTTTGGGGGATTCCCCCCCCTTTTACTTTTTCTTCTGACTTTTACTCTTGATTTGTGATTTCCCTCCCTTATTTAACATTTTTTGGGGGAATTTCCCCCTTTTTCCCATTTTTGGGGCGGTTTTGGAGTCCCCCCTTCATTTGGGATTTTTCCCCTTTTTTGGGGGATTTTTCCCCCTTTTTTTGGGATTTTCCCCCCTTTTTTTGGGATTTTCCCCCTTTTTTTGGGTTTTTTCCCCTTTTTTGGGATTTTTTCCCCTTTTTTGGGGGATTTTCCCCCTTTTTTTGGTATTTTTCCCCCTTTTTTTGGGATTTTCCCCCCTTTTTTTGGGATTTTCCCCCTTTTTTTGGGTTTTTTCCCCTTTTTTGGGATTTTTTCCCCTTTTTTGGGGGATTTTCCCCCTTTTTTTGGTATTTTTCCCCCTTTTTTTGGGATTTTCCCCCCTTTTTTTGGGATTTTCCCCCTTTTTTTGGGTTTTTTCCCCTTTTTTGGGATTTTTTCCCCTTTTTTGGGGGATTTTCCCCCTTTTTTTGGGATTTTTCCCCTTTTTTTGGGATTTCCCCCCCTTTTTTTTAGGGATTTTTGATCCCCCTCCCCGGGGGTCTTTTCCCCCTCTTTTTGGGACACTGACACTACTTTGGGGTAAATTCCCCTTTCCCAGGGGGTTTTCCCCCTCTTTTTTGGGGTCTTTCTCCCATTTTTGGGGTTTTTCCCCCGTTTTTGGGGTTTCCTCCCCTCCCCCAATAAAATTTCCTTGGACCTGCGGCTGCTCCAGTTCCTTCCCAGTTTGGGACTGGGAGCACTGGGAGGGGATGGGGGAGGGGCACTGGGGGGGTCGTTTGGGGATTTTGGGGGAGTTTTGGGTCAATTTGGGATTTTGGGGTGGGGGGGGAATCATTTCTGGGTGGGAAAAACCCCAAAATTTGGAATTTTCGCCATCTCCCCGGCTGATTTTTTTGGGGTCTCTGCGGCGATTTTGGGTTCATTTTGTGAGGTTTTGGTTAATTTGGGGGATATTTGGGGTGTGCCGGTGATTTTGGGGGTGTTTCGGCTCATTTTGGGGGTTTTTGGCTGATTTTTGAATTTAATTTCTTAAAAAAAACCCCATTTTTTAAAAACCTCACTCCTGGAAAAACCAGAAATTCCCTGGATTTCTCCCCAAATCGCCAATTTTGGGGATTTTTGACCTTTTCGGGGCTCAAATTAAAAAAACAAACCTTAAAAAGTGAAGTGAAAATCCCCCAAAAGCGGAAAAATCCCCCCCCCAAAAAATCCCACTTCTCTTTTTTTTTTGCGTGTTTGGGGTTTTTTTTGCATTCTTGACGTTTTTCCTGGGGGGTTTTGGGGGCGTTTTCGGGTCTCAAATCACACGAAAATCACCAAAAGCAGCCGAGAACACCCAGAAAAAAAGAGATTTACCTGGAAACGGGAGCGCAGGTGAGGGGGGGAACCCCAAAATTTGGGGTTTGGGGAGGAAAAACTCCCAAAATTTGGGGTTTGGGGAAGAAAAACCCCAAAAATTTGGGGTTTGGGGAGGAAAAACCCCAAAATTTGGGGTTTGGGGAGGAAAACCCCCAAAATTTGGGGTATGGGGAGGAAAAACCCCCAAAATTTCGAATTTGGGGAGGAAAAACCCCCAAAATTTGGGGTTTGGGGAGGAAAAACTCCCAAAATTTGGGGTTTAGGGAAGAAAAACCTCAAAAATTTGGGGTTTGGGGAGGAAAACCCCCAAAATTTGGGGTTTGGGGAGGAAAAACCCCCAAAATTTGGGGTTTGGGGAGGAAAACCCCAAAATTTGGGGTTTGGGGAAGAAAAACCCCCAAAATTTGGGGTTTGGGGAGGAAAAACCCCAAAATTTGGAGTTTTTGGAGGAAAAACCCCAAAATTTGGGGTTTGGGGAGGAAAAACCCCCAAAATTTCGAATTTGGGGAGGAAAAAACTCCAAAATTTGGGGTATGGGGAGGAAAACCCCCAAAATTTGGGGTTTGGGGAGGAAAAACTCCCAAAATTTGGGGTTTAGGGAAGAAAAACCTCAAAAATTTGGGGTTTGGGGAGGAAAACCCCAAAATTTGGAGTTTTTGGAGGAAAAACCCCCAAAATTTGGGGTTTCGGGAGGAAAAACACCCAAAATTTGGAGTTTTTGGAGGAAAAACCCCAAAATTTGGGGTTTGGGGAGGAAAAACCCCCAAAATTTGGGGTTTGGGGAAGAAAAACCCCAAAAATTTGGGGTTTGGGGAGGAAAACCCCCAAAATTTGGGGTATGGGGAGGAAAAACCCTCAAAATTTGCATCTGGAAACCACAAAATTCGGATTTTGGGGAACGGGACCACAAATTTGGAGTTTGGGGAAGAAAAATCCCAAAATTTGGAGTTTGGGGAGGAAAAACCCCCAAAATTTGGGGTTTGGGGAGGAAAAACACCCAAAATTTCGAATTTGGGGAGGAAAAAAACCCCAAAATTTGGGGTATGGGGAGGAAAAACCCCAAAAATTTGGGGTTTGGGGAAGAAAAACCCCAAAAATTTGGGGTTTGGGGAGGAAAACCCCCAAAATTTGGGGTATGGGGAGGAAAAACCCTCAAAATTTGCATCTGGAAACCACAAAATTCGGATTTTGGGGAACGGGACCACAAATTTGGAGTTTGGGGAAGAAAAATCCCAAAATTTGGAGTTTGGGGAGGAAAACCCCCAAAATTTGGGGTTTTTGGAGGAAAAAACCCCAAAATTTGGAGTTTTTGGAGGAAAAATCCCCAAAATTTGGGGTTTGGGGAATACTGGAGGGGGGAAAACCCCAAAAATTGGAAGGGAAGGAGGAACAATAAAAGGGGACTTTGGGAAACGTGGATTTTGGGAAGTTTGATGTGATTTCTGAGGATAATCCCAGATTTTTCCACAGGCTCTGGAGCGATGCCGCCAGTCCAGGTACGGTTGGATCCCTTATTTGGGATATTTGGAATATTTGGGAATATTCTGGGAATTTTTAACCATTTCTAGGGGGAAAAAAAAAACCCAAAACAATGCATTTTTTTTAAAAAAAAAAAGGAGGAATTGGGAAAATCCCAATTTTTCAGCCCCAAAAACTGGGTGGGAAAAGGGGGATTTTGGGGTCAGGGATTTGGGGTGGGGGAAGGTGACGCCCCCCGGGTCTCCCCTCCCCCCAGTTCTTGGCCCTGCTGGTTCTCGGCGCGGGATTTTCGGGAATTTTGGGAATTCCGGCGGTGCCGGCGCCGGGAGGGAGCCCAGCGGAGCTGCCCGGTGAGTCCGGGCACGGAGCCCAGAAGGGCCCGGAATGGCCCAGTTCCCTCCCAGTCCATCCCAGTATATCCCAGTTCTATCTGAGTCCATCCCAATCCCTCCCCAGTATATTCCAGTACCTTCCCAGTCCATCCCAATCCCATCCCAGTCCATCCCGTCCCATCCCAGTCCATCCCAGTCCCATCCCAGTCCCATCCCAGTCCCATCCCAGTCCCATCCCAGTCCCATCCCAGTCCATCCCAGTCCCATCCCAGTCCCATCCCAGTCTCCTCCCAGTCCATCCCACTCTTGTTCCAGTTCCCACCCAGTCCATCCCAGTCCACCCCGGTTCCCTCCCAGTCCATCCCAGTCCATCCCAGTTTATCCCAGTCCATCCAAATCCCCTCCCAGTCCACCCCAGTCCCCTCCCAATCCCCTCCCAGTCCATCCCAGTCCATCCCAATCACCTCCCAGTCCATCCCAGTATATCCCAGTACCTTCCCAGTCCATCCCAGTCCCCTCCCAGTCCATCCCAATTTATCCCAGTCCATCCGAATCCCCTCCCAGTCCATCCCAGTCCCCTCCCAGACCATCCCAGTCCACCCCAGACCCCTCCCAGC